TTTTAATTTTATTTAAAAATTTGTAAATACTTTTTAATTTTCCAGGCAAATTTGCCTGGAATACGGTTTAAGGGATAGTATATTATACAGTACACGTGGCTTTCGATATAATAGACTATCGATATAATAGATATCACTTAATACGGAGAATGATAATGGAACCAAATAGTGATTTACTATGATATCTGATATATTATAAGATTTTGATATTACAAAGCTTTTGATATAACGGAGCAAAGGACTAGAACTATGGTCTCCATTATATCGAGAGCCATATGTATATTCTATTTTAATTATTTGTTTCATTATTTTTATTAATTTTTCACCATCCTTTTAAAGCCATGCATGCTCTAATAGTTTTTGGATTCAAACTACTCCTTTTATCAGTAATTAAACTTTTGCTGCTAAAAAATACCTAGTACTTGTAGCTAAATATAAAAATTATAATTATAATTTAATATATATTTACAAATATCTAGTTATTTATAAAATATAAAAATTTATACCTTAAATTGCTAAAAAATCTTTTGTCATTTTAGCTAAATGTAGAAAATCACTTTTATGGTTCTATAAATTTAAAATTAATTTTTATAACTATAATAATAATACTAATAATATAGTAATAATATAATTAAATAATAATACTTACTTTTCACCATTCTAAAATATCAATATCATTTTCATCATCATCAGGATCAGCAGTAAATTCTTTTAAATAAGTAGCCAATTTATTTGAAAGATCACCTTTTTTGTGTTTTTTAAAAATAGTAACTAATATTTTATTTTGAGGTTTATTTTGTTAAACTTTATTTGTATTTTGAGATGTTTGAAGTTAATATAAAATTTCCACAAATCTTCTATTTGGGTTTGGTATGTTTGAATATATTCTCCAAAATTATTTTCTTGATAATATACTAGTTTAAGTCTAGGATCCAAAACTAATTAATTAAAATATAAATTAATATTAAATATAATATATAAATTAATTACATTAAATATAAATTATAAAATATACTTGTTCCAATAATATAAGCTAATTCTTCTGTTGATAAATAATATTTTTCAAGTTTAGTTATACCAAATTGAGCTGTATTTTTAATAGTTGAAATTGTATTTTTTTCTTTAATAAATTTTTTCAATATATCAAGTAAAGCATTATAAGCTGAAACTATAAAGCCAATTGTTAAATAAGTATTTCCACTAATATAAGTAGTTGTATCTTCAAAATACTAATTTAAATATAATATAATATAATAAATTATAATTAATATAATATATTTAAATTTCAAATCAT